ATGAATGAGTGCTTGAGATAAAGGGTCTAACTCTTATACCTTATACTATCCTTGCAAACCCAATTTTGCATTTTAAATTTATGGTAAAGATAAACGAATTTATCACTATAAATTATTCTTTTCTGTACAGGTTACAAAATTGCAATGGACCCAGCTTGATTTTTTTGTTCTATTGTCAGAATAATAGAGTACACATGACAGAGGTGTGTATGTGAGTGGGTGTGTGGTGGATGGGCGTACGTGTGCATGTGCACGTTAGGCAGCAAAGTGTGAGAATCTACTGAAGAAAACAAAGGTTACTCAACAGCCCAAGAAGTCTATTTCTATATTCTGTCTATTAATTTCAAAAACCAAATTGCAGTCAGTGAATATGAGGGAGTTTACTGACCCAGGTAATTGAGAAGGCATAAATCTGCTGGCTCTTTGTTGAGACTTCAGGAGAGTAAAAACAGGCAAAAGTTACTGTGAGTGTTTCACTGGAAATGTAAAATCTTTGTGTTTTAGAGTATTTGTTTTAGTAAGAAAAGTTTACACAGCTTGTGGAGAGTTATTTTGTTGGAAAATAAATTTTTGTAGCTTCTCCACTTTTTCTACACTTGCCAATTCCTCTGCATTCCCACTTTGCAGCCAGCTCACTGCTTTTCCTTCACCTAAACTGTTGTGCTGCTGGTAAAAACTTAGAAAAATGACTGTGACAGAATACTTTTGCTAGGAGCTTGCTAGAGAAAATGTGTTGCAATCAAAGGGAGTGAACACTGTTTTGCATTGAACACCTGTTGCACTGGTAAGTGGGGGGAAATTCACTATTATTTTTGACTATAGGTTCCATACCCTTGCCTAGTGTAAAAGCTGTTCTGCATCACATATAATCTTTGTAGTAATTGTATGAATGAAATACTTTTTGTATTTCACTGTAAATAGCACATTATATAAAGACTGTAGTGGGATAATAATTAATTTAGCTGGAAGTTCTTTTAATTTATTATTTTAATTCTGGGAATATCAGAATTGCCTGATTTTAAATATCATTTTAGTGAAATGGATAAGATATATGGCAGGTGCATGTTTTCTCCAATCTCCTATTCCAGAATCCAAGCAATTCAGTTTATCTCCCTTAAACATACTCTGTCCTTCCTCTCCCTCTTCCGCCCCTCTTCCCGATGCTTTATATGCATTTTTTTACAACAACATAAGAGCGTGAAATTCTGCTGTCAGATATCTGGCCATTCCTCCCAGTGCTGTCTGTTGTGGTTATTCAAGGGTAGTATTTGGCTCAAAGAGTGAACTGTGGGGAACACAAGGAAAAGGTTATTTTTTCTAAAAATAAAATTCTCAGCATTTTTCCAAACATCACTAAATGTAGACAAAGGAAGCGTAGGTAAGTAGATCTGTTGTATTACCAAATGGATATATAATAGTATATATACAATGGCTTTTGATACAAGAGGATTTTCAGGGTATCAGTGGAAAATGACATTGACAGACTTTGTTGTTTGAATCATATCAGATCACATGTAAATGGGAAGAGAAGTTACATTGTCTTGCTCTATATAGCCTGGCTTTAGCTGTTTTACAGCTTCAGTAAATGCTGTTAGATGACAGCTGTGTCCTCCAAGAATTGATCTAAGGATTCTACTTTAATACCTTCAAGTTTTTTTTTTTTTTTTTTTTTTTTTTTTTTTTTTAAACTTTTGCTCCAGAGAGTATTTACTTTCCACCGTTCTTAAAGCATTTTCTAAGGAACGTTTGGCAGAATTTCAAGGCACCGAGTAGTGAATGAAAACCATAGAGTAGGTAGCCATGTAGAGACAAATAAATGAGAAAATAAAGAGCATAGTCCAAGCCCTAGTATTAAAGTATGGCCTATATATTGATATATGGAATTTAAATCTCTTACCACAACAAAAGGCATGTCCCAGTCCAACTAATGAGAGGATCATGTTTTGTATAGTGCTGCTAATAACGTACAGAGACAACATACTAACACATGTATTTCTTAGGCAGACTCACTCAGTAGGTTTTTATTAGCCTTGCTAAGATACTTTCCTTCAGTTATTGTTTTAAGAGTGACAAATCATTTGTAATGTGAGCTTGTACTACACATATTGCACAATATCACCTGCCTGCTGGTCACTACTTTATCAAGCACTTTAACAGAATTATTTCAATAAGAAGCTTTAAAAATACTCCAACTGGAGGACATATCGAAGGTTATTGTGATGAAATGTCTTCGCAAAATTTTGCCAACAGGGAAGTTTAGTATTATTGTTTGCATTAGGATACCAATGAGTTCATATTTCTGTATCTGGTTTTGGGAGCTTTGAATCTGAGGAATGGTAGAGGTCCCAGTGAGCTCCAGAGTCGTCTTATGTATGTGTGGTGCAAAGCAACCTGTAAAATTTCTATTCAAATGAGCTAAAAAGATAATAGAACCAGTGAGACAGAAGGATAGTTAAGTGATACATAGGCCTTGTCAGTTCTCGCTCTGTATTCTTCTAATGAACTTCAGTATATAGAAATGAGATGCATTTTAACAGTTATGTGTATATATGTTAGATGTTAACCTTATTTTTGTATGTCTTTTCAAATGAATACACATCAGTGCTGTCCAGCGGCCCCAGCCTATATCAGTTCTTTAGTATCACACAGAAATCATGGAAGAAAGATTTTTCGAGGAGGAATGGGAAAGAGGTGAGACTAACAATCTCCAGACCTGTTAAGAGACAGGACAGTGGAGATGAATAAGCAAACAGGTTTGTGCACAAAGACAGCATCAGTAGGAGTTAAGACCTGAAAGAAACTATTTTTAAATCAATACATAAATTATTGCCTAGAAATTAAAAAAAATTCTTCTAGAATACTCATGAATTCATGTTCTATGTCTAGAATCAGTTCAGAATTTCTGAAGAGTTCCACAATTTTTGCTTCTCAAGGTGTAAAATTAGTTTCCCCCTAAGGATTTGGCCCTAATTAACAAGGACCAGTTTTAAAGCCACAATGAGTTTCAGTGGAGGACCTGTTTTTACAGAAATCTGTAAACTCTTAACCTGTAGCCCTTATTATAAATGGAGAATAAGGAAATGCAATTCCACTCATCAAACCCTCAATAAAAGTAGAGGCCTTCTTTTCACTTCTCCCTGCATACCTGGTTGCTCATCCTATACATGCAGTTCCTGCCCAGGTCTAATACCCTGCCCCTTAATACTTACTGCTTTTATGAATTTGTTCGTAATTATCATTTTTAAGCTCCGTTGGTTTGTAAGGTCATACTCCTGTTCTGTGACGCCTGCAGAGGTTTTAATGTGAGCCATTATCATTCCCTAGCTGGAATGCAGTGAGTGGTCTGATTGCTTTTAATCAGTGTCTGTCCCTATGTAAAAAGGTTAGTGTAAACCACCTCCTGTATTAGTCACTAAAGACCTCTTCAAGACTTATTTGTGTTTGTGGTTGCATTTGACCTCTGATTGCTTTTACACATCAGGCTGAAAGCTATTTCCCAAATGCTTTTGACTTTAACTCTATTCTCTCCATGAAAATAAAGCACATTGCAAAAAACTTTATTACATAGTTTAGAGGAAGAACAGAGAAATTATTTTTCAGAGTGTAATATAACATTTCTGGTGTACATTTACTTATATTTATTACTTTATTGCAGATTTTTCACCAAAATTTTAGTTCTTCTATCATCTGTAAAATATGTGGATGCTGCTTTTATGTGAATATATTTAATCAAACATTATTCAATCAAATTTATTGCTTGGCAATTGGTCTATAATTTATTTCCCCACTTTTATATAACAAACTGTTACATATGAGCTTACAGTAGTTTTATAGACAGTTTCTTTTTATAACTTACCACCCTAGAGATGTGTTCCTACGCAGACCCAAAAAAGATTTATATCAGATATAATAGAGATTAAGCTGGTTCTTCTAACTCACCCATGTTCTCTTTTCTTACTGTATTCTTACCACTTTTATCTATCACACTTACCTACTCTGCAATGAATTTTAGCAGTACAAAATTGGATTTGCTTATAATTTTTTTAGTCATGAACAATTCAACATAAAGAGAAGGTTCTTTTATGTTTTAAACTACTCACTCCAAAGTCATTTCTTGATCACCATCACCAGCCTGTTTCTTACCAAAATATTCCCTTTTCCTTAAAAAGCATATGAAATCCTATGATTTAAAAATTGGTGGACTCTATGACACTGAAACAGGAAAAAGATGTATAATAATTTCGTACTATACTAGGCTGCCTATTTTAATATCTTTATATTGACCAAGATATTTAGATTTGGCACTATTACTAATCACTATTTCTGCAGATAGAGAAAACTACTTTTCAGACTTTCTTAAAGACAAGATCTGATTGCATGCCTAATCTATTTTGTAGGATTACTCTTTCAATACAATGACAATAACTTTTTAAATTTAATATATAAATATATCGTATATATATAAAATATAAATATATATATATTCAATTGTGCTTCAGCACCAAACACTGAAGCATAATGATGCAGTTTGTAAATCATTCTTATCAAGAAAGTAATCCTATTATGTATCAGAAATATACATACACCATACATCAAAACTTTGACAATGAGGAAGTATTCCTGCACTTCTAGTTAAAGTCACAGTAAGATTGGAAAAGAAAAGAGTAGGGCATTTATCCAACTTTAGTCAGCTAACTTAGCCAATCCTGTAGTCCAAGAAAGGATCCTGGCTCCTTCAAGGGAGCTCCTCAATTTGTAGCATCTTGAGTTTCTGCTTTCAACTGCCTGGTGAATAAGTCTCTCCCCCGCACAATCCCCAATTACCAACAGAGAGAGCGGCCCAGGGGAAACAGCTGAGGCTTATCCCTTTAGTATACTAAGTGTTCTTTTAAGTCTAGCAGTTGTCTTTTGCAGAATCAACTCTCATAGTTCAAGGTATCCGCAATTTTTTTCAGGTTAAGTCTGGTTTGCAATTACCCTAGAATCAAGTACAGTTACTCCCCCCCACAAGAAACTTCTCATATAAAATCAAGTGAGAACACCTTCTTGAAAAGCCTGTTTATCGTTCAAAACTAAAGAAATCTGGGAAAGTCTCAACAAATCTTCCACTAAAAATTCAGCAATCTTAATTCTTTCAAATTCAGCATTGCACAAATCCTGTTGCTGAAACTGGAGGCAAAGTTCCTTATTTTATATACATATGCAAATTTCAGTATATAGTCTATGTGTGCTGATTAATGTTTACAGAATTTATATATTCTGCAAAAAGCAAATGCTTTTTTTACTAGCACTGAGTTAAAGATTTCAACATGTACTTACAGTAAAAGACTAATCCCTTTTGTTACCAAGTAATTATTTTATCGTCCGTATTTAGACTTAAAAGACTGTAATTTATAGTATGAGCTTTTATGATTCTAAATAGGATATCTCACTACTACTGATGAAACAAAATTACTTTAAAATGTCTTTAGACATGTTGTGGCTAATGGCAAGGAGTGACCAACAACAGTAGACAAGTAGTAGACAAGGATTCCATCCTCCTACCCTGTGCTGCTAGGGTAGGCCTTACAGAGGATTCACTAATCAACCTTGGTAGAACAGAAGAAGGGACATTTGCTTTATTTCAGAACAGTAGAAAACATATGGTATCAAAACATTTATAGCAAATATAAGTAAACAACCAGACTACTGAGAAACAGAATAGTTTTGGGGTTTTTTTTTTGATTGCGAGTAAATGCAAAAGCACTTCTGACGGTATAAAGACAAATCATAAAAGAAGTATTGCTCTTTTTAATCCAACCGAATAGTTACATGTGAAGAGACAGACATTTTCAGATAATGCTTTTAAAAACTAGAAATTGATGAGAGGAAAAAAACTGGCACAGATGTCAATTTATGTTTTTGAATTGTACTTCCTTTTCCCTCTAATCTTAGTGCTATGGTCAGTTCTAGCAGTACTAAGAAAAGAGAATGCTGTTCAAATGGAGAACATCTGTGGAACTGAAGCAGAATTTTTAAGTACATCTAACACCTTTAAGAAATTTAGATTATTAAAACTTTGAGCAGTGTATTAAGGCAGTTCTCATTAGCATGCTTCCCCAGTTTCAATTTTCATATGATTTTTAACTGGTGATGCTTTCTAACCAATAAAGAGTTAATATTCTTAGTTGTCTGAAAGGTGATTTGGAACATTTCAGATGGTATTATGCATTGTTTTCTGTCTTTTGATATATTAATCACAACTGTAGCCCCTTCTGTTGCAAATGTTTGATTTTAAAATTGTCACTTGTCAGTCAGTCGAATAGGCTATTTCAAAACCAATACACTTTATGCATGGGAAGTTTGATGTTGAAACAATATTTATTTACATTCCCAGAGTGAGATGGTTTAATATATTCATGCTGCTATAAAAGACATGCTACAAAGCCTAATCGTATTTTGTGTATATACTATGTGTACAGAGAATCTTGCTTGTATTAAAATAAATGAGGTTCTAAGTATCAATTTATAAAACAGTTCTTTGTAAAATGCTACAGTTATTTAATGAAACATTAACTATTGGTAAACCTCCATAGAAACTACCTTTTCCAAAATTCATTATAATTGTTCCCATGTAATTTATTTACGTTGCACTTCATAAAGTAGCTTACTTCCCCTCCCAGAGAAATCCTGTTCCTACGCTTGCTGCACTAGAGAAGCAACTCACATGGGGAAAGATTGAACAGACAGTGAACATACTTGTCATTCATGCACTGACCTACTGTAAATATAAAAGCAAATGGAGACTTCAAATTGATACTACCCTTCCCCCAGCCATGACTTCCCTTCTGCAACCTGTGGCTCTTTCCCAGCAGAACAGCTGGCAGGTTTTATCGCTGCCATAGCAACCCTGCCGTCAGCCTGTTGGCTTGGCAACAATGCAGCAGGAAGAAACACACTTCATGCCTGAATTCTTCTTAAGACTCACAGAGGTATTTTTTTCACGTTGCATTACTAAATGCTTATTTGCTGTTCAACTTAATAAATTTTGCAATAAAAAATCCTATACAGTCTTTATTTGCCCGTGAAATCAGATCATCTTCCCTGGAATCTTGCAAAGAATTAATGTCCATTCCTTGCAGTGGCACAGCAGATGGATCAAATCTCTGCAGCAGCTTCAGCTGATCAAGCGACAGTCCAGTTCCCCTCATGCCTTCTCCTCCAATGTGAGGTTCCTTTTCAAGTAACAAAGAAAAGTGAAGTGAAGCATCAGTAAAATTCTTAAGTGCCCTAAATGTGTTCTACTGAGTATATGCAGAGCTGCCTAACCGCTAAGGTAGACAAACTACATTTGTAACACTGACACCAGGGGAGGATTTAGAAGTAACGTGGCCCTTCTTTTCTTGCCTTCATCTGGTCAATATGTATACAAGCATATATACAAGGTCCAAAGTGCTTTGAGGAGATGGTGGTGCACCTAATCCACTTTAGCCCAGTAGTTTAGAGCACTTATTGAGGACAGGTACTCAAGTCTAAATAATTTGTTACTCAAAAGACTGAAACATCACAAGAAAGCTGTTATCACCAGATACTAGGAAGGTCTAAAGATTTTACATTGCCACTTTTAAATGATACAGCACTTCTGTGTACTGACTAATAGCTATGAGTTAAGTCCAAAATAGTGATTCCTAAGTCAGTTATTAATATACTCATTAAAAGTAGTAGAAATACCTGGATTCTTCACATTAGAAACTTCAACTGTAGAGACTGAATGCCCCAGTCCAGAATACTTTATTACCTGAAGTGACACCATTTTGGAAGATGATGCAGCAGAAAAATCTGATCTTCAGATTTTCTGTCATGTAATTAGACTAATGGGACTACTGTTACATATGTACGTATATAAGGCAGAGAAAGGACAGAAGAGCAAGCTTAGGTATCTGAATTCAGATAACATTTGGCATCAAAATTCAGGAGGGGAGAGGGCTTAAAAGCACAGCTGCCTTCTCAGCATTTCTTGTAAGTAGTGTTGAGTGCTTTTCAATACACTGATTCCTGGAAAAAAAAAAAAATCTAATTCTTAGCTGAATTGTACTTTCAGTGCATTCAGTAAGGAGATAGAACAAAATGTGCAAAAGCTGGCATTGCAATATCAAAAGTAGACCTCCTTTGTAAATCTAGTCTAGCATAGTTATAATGCAGCCATCACACTTTGCTAAAGCATGAGCTCATCCAGTCAGCACATGATGCAAGTTAGTAGCTTAACCACACACTGTGTGCTGTAAAGCTGGGCAGCCAACAGGTTGCAGATTGATTCTTCTCTTCCCTCAGCAGGATTTCAGTGCTTTCCAGGTAAGAGACAGAAGTGCCCATTGCAAATTGAGAAAAAAGAACATACAGAGGGAGACAGGGGTAGCAACTTGAAGTAATGTAATAGAAGAATGGAAAGGTAAAAGTCTAGTGAAAACAGCATTACACAGGGTCAAGCAACTTGCTCAAAGACAGACCAGTTTTTTCCTCTACTTTTTCCTTTTTCCTGCCAGTTAAGTTACTGCATTTAAGATGGTATACAGTATCACCTGTGTAAACACCTAAGAGGAAGTAAGTCTGCACAAAGGATCAACTGCCATACAGTAACCTCCACCTACAAGATCAACGGGTATGGCTTCAGGTCCTGGTTCTTCCTTACCCAGCATGATTCCACGATCTGTTGCCAAGCTGAGGAAGTGGGAGACAGGGGACTGGGTGTATAAGGTGTCTACTGAGAGACTAAAGATATGGGAAACACATAAAGGAACATGAGGTAAGTCAACCCTAGACTCAAGTTTCCTGTTCACTGGAAAATATCACCATAGTTCACATTACTGGTGAACTGTTTTTAAGATACTATATCTGTGGGTAAACAAGTCAGTGTTGTCTCATTTAAAATATACACAAAAGAATTTTTACAGGTATGGCATTTGTGTGTGAAAACTCATGCTTTATTCAACACTGACATTACTGGGGAGCCAAAAGTCTATTAAAGCAGAATTAATCTTACATTTGAGTTAATAGGGCTTGTATTTTTCTTTGTCATTCTACTGAAAACAACTTTTATACTGTTAGGTAAAATGTATAATCTCATTTGAAACAGATGGAACTGATAAATTCCTAGTAAATGAATGCTGAGAAAGCACACAGAACCCTGACATACAAATCTTTTAAGAAAAGCTTCAGTTCTGTTAAATCTTTACTAGTCTTCATATAATTTCTCCTTGTACACCTATTGTGTATATTTTTTTAATTTCAGTTAAAATATGCATCTAAACTTCTAAAGACAGATAAAAATCATCACAGAATGTATAAGTAAGCTAAACATGTATCAGAGTTAAAACTTCCTCAAAGCCATGATGATCAACAACTAACCCACCCAACTCATCACATCAGCAAAGGAAAATCAGTCTGACAATAAACTCTCTCAAGTTACTAACAAAGGCAACAGATATTTTTTTAAATGTATGCAGTATAGGTAAAAAATGCTAGTATATTCCTATATATTACCTCTTCCCAGACATCTTAATGATAGACACTATCTCCAAAAAAGACAAGGTACATTCTTGAAATACTGAGCCTGAAATAAATTTGTTCCCTCATTCCTTTACGTAACACAAAACTAGCTCCCATATATATAAGAACCTCCTTCCCCAAAACACAAGGTTCTTTCCATTTATTTCCCATCCTTTCTGCAAGTCTTCAGTGGCATTAATAAAAGAATTGTTCACCTCTCCTGTAAATGTGCAAAAAAGGTATGGATTAAGGAACAATTTCAAGAGAAATTTTGTCCCTGTTGTGTTTTAAATTACTGTTGTACAAATCAAAACAACCACAGTACACAGTGGAAAACAACAATCCCTAAATGAAGCTCAATTAAACACAAAAACGGATTTAGAAGTGCCTCAGAAATCCTTGTGATATTTCTATCCACAGCACTTAAAACTGTCTGCAGTGAAAGTGAGATTTATTGATAGTAAATATAGTGTGTAAATTTACAGTGCCAAAACAAGCTTATCAGATTGTGTTGAAGTACCGTGAAAATACTGTTACCTGTGGCTGAAGCTGGAGGCATGGAAAAGTTTTCAGGGCCCAAGCAACTTGTTCCTCATTTTCAGCAAGTGTAATTGTACACGTACTGTATACTAAAATACCTCCTGGCTTCAGCAATTTCACTGCCTGCAGGAAGAAATAAACAATAATTCAGCTTATTTTTAAATGCAAAAACTTTCATATTGAGCAACATTAACCAAGAAAACTATTAAGTTATAATATTAAAATTTATTACTTAATTAAACTCAAATCTTTCTGTCTAAGGCATTAGGATACTAATTCTTCTCAGGGAATACAGTAAAGGATCCCACGGATTAGAAAGATTCTTCTTTCCAAAATCAACATTATAACTCATGCAGTTTATTAATGCCATTAAGATGATTCACCTTGTAAGATTTGTTATTTTGTATAGCTCTGCGTATCCCAGACAGATTAGTTCTGTTTTCATCACCTGCTGCCCACCATGGATACATGGATATTTTTATCAGTGATATTAGATGTCAACTATTAGATTTCACATATTTGGCATGAAAGCTCTATCTGTGCTGCTGTTCTCAAGCTTTGGTTCATTTTGAATACAAATAATTCAGATTTAGACAAGTTTCATGAAATCTTACCTTTCAGCATCAGCCCAAGCACAAGCCTACTAGCATGAAAAATTGTAATACGACCTCCTGGCTTTGTACTCATCTTGTATCCCATACAGTACCTCACAGCACCACTGCATGGGAGTTCCACACAGTGAATTTACAAGAGTCTGTGCTGTTGCAGAGAAAAGATTTTAGCCTGCTCCGGACTTTAACCCTTGCAATTATTTTAAATTAAAGCTGATGAAACTGAAGGAATAAAAAAAAAAAAAACAACAAAAAACCCCACACATACAAAGTTTTTTATTTACTTTGGCCTACATATGCCTTTCTCATGCTCCAGTGAATTGACTTCACCTAGCAACAGATACAGTGGAGCTGAGACATTAACTGAATCCTAATGCTATCTTTAACTGCTGAAAAGGTAGGGAAAATGAGGCACCATTTTTTGGTATGAAGTTTTATGCTGCAAAAGCATTTATGTCCAGTTTAGCTGAGATCTACTCAATGATCAATACATACCACAGTGAAAAGCTTGCGCTGTAGTGGCTGATAAGAGGTCACTTCCTTTAAAGTTGAGGAATAAGCCATGTTTGGTCTCTGTCCCATCCCACTACATGGAGCATCAAGAAGAATTCGATCAAACGACTCTGGTAAGAATGGAGGTCCTTCTGTAAAAAGCAGTTAGTAATGTAAAATGTGGCTGTTTCTTTCCATAAGACTTCACCAAAGACAAGGACAAGCTGTTACTGTTTCCTTGACATAAAACTTTTATGTTCTATAGGTAGTGTCTTCAAATGTAATATCAGCTAGAGACAAAACAGCATTGCTGGTGGTCGATTTCATCTCTCAGAAAACTAAAGAGTTTTAATTCTGTCAGCTAAAATAACACATGATCCCTTTAGGCAAAAAATATTTTTTAGCCTTAATAATTTGAAAGTAAAATATAAAAGTAATCAAACAAAAATATTGAAATACGATTGGTCAGAGGTGCTGGGTACCAAGTTGTACAGGTAAGCCATAATGAACCACAGTCAGCTCATAACTGAATTCTGTGCCGGTCTTTACTGAGCGGAGCCTGTAGTTAACCATTAAGACTACCTTAAATAATAATAATTGGACTGTCTATAGAATAACTATTTCTTGCAATGCATATATATCTGTAGAAAATAAAGCACTTATAATAACATGAAATATTACAAGTTCTAATGAGTGACACATGGTATCTCCACAGCAGAACAAATCAGTAAATGAGGATTGTGAAGACAAGAACAATTTCTGAATATTACCTGGATAGAAAAGGAAATATGTAACTTCTATATGCAGAGCCTATCCTTTCATCTGAATCCCACTGGCTCAATGGCCCAAAAAGTTCTATCACCTTAGTGCTACAGACTCCTCAGCTCAGCATCACCAAGACAAAAGCGGCTCCATACGTGTATCTGTGAATAACCAATGAGGAAGAGAGCCATAGATATGTTTTACCTCCTTTTCTCCCTCTGCTCCTCAAACGCTCGTTAGATAACCAATGAAAACAAGCGAGTGATTTCATACTGCTGCCACCTATCTTGTTCCAGCACTACAAAATAAGTCTGATTTATCTACCTCTGATCCATTACTACAAAGTTCAAGATACGTCATATCTTCCTTGCAGGAATGTACAGAAAAGCCTTCATGATCTCTCAGTATTACAGCTAACTCTTGTTCATCTGTGTAAGCACTATATACCACCTACATTATTTTATGTTCATAGAAAGACTATTAAGAAAGTACCTTATTCCTCCAAAGCAGGAATAACTGCATAGGGACAAAAAAGGTGAATTATGCAACCTGATTCCTACTTAGACTAACTAGTGACTAGGATAAAACAGAGTGAGAAAGAACAGCATACTTTGTACAACAAACTAAAAATAATCAAGACAGCAGATACCGTTTAACTCGTTCCATCATGGGAACAGAACCAGTATCATAAATACAGCACTTCAGAAAAGCAAATTAAATGAACTTAAAATAATACACTGTGCGTCTACAGAACTTTCCCCTGGTCAGCTGAACAAACATCAGTGAAATAAACCTTGCAGCACTCCTGGGAGTTAGGTATTAATAACCCCATTTTACAGATGAGGATTCTGAGGCAGAAAAGCTAAGCAATTCTGCATATTTATTTTTTTTTTCGCACTATGTCAAACAATTCAGATATGGGTTTAAATGTTATCATGAAAGAAGCTTTAAGGCTTCTTCAGTCTTTGATATTATCTGGGAAAGGAATGCATTTCCTTTGAGCATATTAAGTTGTGGTAAGGACAGACAGTTTGAGTTTTTGTATTTGCTTCACAGAGAAGCCGATAATCACAAATCAGTAGAAAATAAAAGAGCATTCACAGTGCTGAAGCAACTTAGGTATCTGCCAAGATTTCAAGGACCTGTAGACATGTGGCAGGTTTAATACTATTAGTGCAAAATGGATTACTATTTTCTTTTAAAAGCTACTACTACAAGTAGTCGTTTACTTTACCTTGTTCATCATCTCTCTTCTCAACTGAAAGTGCCTTTGTTCCATCATAGCAAAAGGCCTTAATACAATTCAAACGTAGCAAATCAGCGTTCTGCTTGATTTTTTTGACCTTGTTAGCTATCTTGTCCATGGCTATTACTTCACCCTGAAAAAAAACCAAAGTTTTTATCAAAAGCATAGGGGTTAAATGCATGTGCAGTTCCTGAGTCCTCCATCCCCCCATATGCAGTGTAAAGAATGAAGCTTAGTTTTCCCTACAGGATTTTGTTATTCTTAAATCCACACTCCAGTAGTCCTTGTTTGTCCATATTTTTCGTGATACCCACACTAGGCTAGATACTAGTCTGAAGCTCTGTATGTTCTGACTGGCACTAGCTGCTTGGCACAGTCACTCCCCAAGGGACCCTATAATGTCTGACTTCTGGCAAGTGGCATTTTTGCTTCTTTCTTTTTGTTTGTTTTGAACTGTTTTACTGGGCACTAAGTTAGGTAAAAATGTTATCATCTGAAAGAGGGTAGAAGTCTCAAATGGTAAAATAGGTCCAGAGGTTTTAAATTTGCATGGAGATGGTGGGAAGCATGATCACATACATCTCAGTTCTGAGGAAATGAGGACCACAGCCATGCTTCTGGCTTGCTCAGGCACATAACGAACTGTTATACTTGCAGCAGTTGTCACTCAAGTTACTTTGGGAAATACTGTAAATACTCAAATATATTTAGACATGAGAGGAGTGGAGTCACAATTACACATTATTCCTTTTATGTAAGAATAAGATTTCTCTCTTCCTCTCCCAAGATAAATCAAAACAGACACACACCACCATCTGCTAGATGAAATCTGTAAACAGAAAGGAAAGTAAACAGTAGCATCAGTAAAATCCAGAACACTAAAACTATCTTCAAAAAAACCCCAAAGACCAAAAACCTCTACTAGACTTGCTAGAGCAAACAGAACCTGCTGAGAAAACATGACAACTTTTTCCTACTTGGTGATGGCTCTCTAGAGGCTTATAGAAGGGTAACATTACTAAGATATACAGTGTAAAAAAAACCAAAACCAAACACCAACTTTCAGTAAAGATAAGCTGTTGACTGTATGTCATGTTAGCCAATATGTAGGTCTACAACTGAGAAGTAAAAAAGGATTTTTGTGGTGTCAATTGTGTCCAACCTTCATCTGCTGTGAGCCAAATCAACTCTTATAGGAGCTCTCAAAAACAGGTGCCACTGTTTCTTCCCTATCACCATTCAACCTATAGTACCTGCACACTAACAACTGACTGTGCTTGAAAAGTAGGTCTGTTGCTAAAACAGTGATTTGCTGCACATGTGCTGTACTGTGGATATGAAGAGGTAAGTCCTTCTACTGAGAGACTCTCAGAAAAAAGAACAAGCTGAAAGGCAACAGTTCTTCCCCATCTGGTCAATGTCAGCCACTGCCAGAAAAACTTCCTGAAAGACATCTAGAAAAAGCAATGGTCTGGACTGGGGTCCAAACAGTAATAAAGAATTCTCAAGCTTTAATTATTCCCAATTTCTAACAATAAAGATTAAGAATATCTCATCTAAAGCAAATATACTAATTTTTATAATTACCAAAAAAAAAAAAAAAAAAATTGATTCAAATATTCTGAGATGTTAATGCTTTAATACACTGTCTATGGAAATTTAGTATGGAAAATCTCTGAATGGAACTTAAGAACCAAAAAGCAGTGCAAAATTACTAATATATTTTTTTCCATATCTTAAATTAAGTATTATATACTCAGAGAGGGAAAACCAATTCAGATAAACTTCAAAATCTGTATTCTTAATCTTTACCACTTCGGCTGAAGGTAAGCACAACCAAAATATCTAAGATGACTAAGGAAAACAGTTATGTAAAGTTATACAAAATGTACATAAACAGATGGAAAAGGTATAGGTGTAAATGAATCCATGAGAGAAATACATGCTTTTACAGACTTCCTTTATTTATCACACTGAAATTATTTGCTGGAAGCTCTATAAATCTATCCAGTGAATGTCTAATGACTGTCTAATGCATGTTTAATGCATGTTTACAAACTTTCCATACTGAGGGAAGAAACATTTCCATAAGCAAAGTCACAGAACTGAATATATGTATTTTCTAAATACATTCACATCATTACCCACTCTACCTTCCCATTAATGCACAGACAACCATTGAACTACTGCATAATGTAACTGCAAGATTTCTAAATAATCTGATATAATAACCTTATTCCAAAGAAAATAATAATGCCTTACAACATTTTTAGAGGAAACATTACACATTCTTCCCCTCTCTTCTAGAAAGTAGTCTGCATTTCTGCCTTTTGTTCTGCATATAACAATTTAATATATGCAAATTGTTATTCCTATATCTACATTATTTTTTGCTTGTGTGTTATTTTCCTTTGTCTTTCTCTAAACATTGTTTTTGTTTCTTCTCATATTGTTATTTTCTCATGAGATATTTTTGGGGTTGCAACCATCTACCTTAGAATGACAAACTCAGGCTAGAAATTCAGTCTAAGATCCTATCTGTACTGCGTAATTGATAATTTTTACTGAGAAGAAAGTTAGTTGGATTAGGAACTTTTTAAATATGTTTTTGTACAGAGTTGTGCATTCTTTTGGCACACAATAGTAACTCCTGATTTCCATATATTCTCAGCTTCATGAATCCAGCATATTCCTGAATAACTATGCCCCGCATGCTATGAATTCTTCCATTACAAATAATTCAATAACATTTAAAAAGTGAAATCAAACACATTTCAACAGGTCAATTTGCAGCAAATAAGGTTTTAAATGGGATGGTGACTATTGGATAGTCTATGCCCATTTCACTAACTCTGATGTGTAGCAAAATATATTGGTAACCAAAACATTCAAATATTAATTGTTTGCTGTTGTAAATCATCTGTGCATTCTGACAGCAAAATGAAGTAACCTGTACAAATGAACAGTAGTCAGACTTTCTTCACTTGAGACAGTGACTGCTCTTACCTGGTCATGCATTAGTGTTGCAAGATGGGTTGTTTTTCCTCCAGGTGCAGCACACATATCCAAAATTCTCTCTCCTGGTTGAGGGTTTAAAATATGGCTCACAACCACAGAAGGCAAGTTCTATCATAAAAACAAACATGGGAGAATTCAAACCTTATGTCCTGTGTCAAGTCCTGCATCAAGGAATGACAAACTCATTGAAAGAAAAATTCATTCAGCAATGAAGATACCTACGATATTGCTGTCAGTTCCTTAACAGAAAATGAACTACTGGGATTATATTAAAGAGACAGTACAGGTTGGAAGTCTCCAGTGTCTCCTCTTTTATTTAAAGCTATATATGAGTATCTATGACTAAAGTTTAAGGGTTCATGACTATGGGGACTACAGTGCTAAAAGTTAAAATAAAATAAATTGCTATTATCACAGACAGAGAGCAGCTCTGTATATTACAAATATTCTATATTGATCTGTTTATTAGAACATTTACTATATGAACATACTGGTGTAGTATAGTAACGAGCAGCAAGATCAATAGGAAGGAGATTACACTTGCTGAATTAAGGTACCAAGAAACTGAACTGCACTATTAATTGTATAAACAGAACAAATGCACTGAAGAGAAATAATATGCAATAATTGTGCACAGTATTGATCTTACACAATATAGAAATTTTCTGAAAGATTCTGTTCTAACTTGGTTCAACACAAAGGTATAAAAACCTTCTAAAGTTGTCTTTACTACATGTTGTCTTTGGTTGGCACAGTTTCAAGTTCCATGCCACAGTGTTCAAAAAAATGAATAACAATTTATCTCACACATGGCAAATTCAGGTCAAAAAAGTCAGGCTCAAAGGGTCATAATCAGTGGCACAAAGTCCAGCTGGAGGCAAGTCAATAGTGGTATACTCCAGGGTGGACACTGGCACCAATTTTGTCTAACCTCTTCCTTAGGGACCTGGATAACAGAACAGAGTGTACTCTAAACAAGTTTACAGAGGATACAAAACTGGAAAGAGTGGTTGATAAACTGGAAGGTTGTGCTGCCATTCAAAGGGACCCTGACAGGCTGGAGAAATGGAGAAACAGAAATCTCATGAAGCTCAACAAACAGAAGTGCTAACTCATGCACCTGGTGCACTCCATGCACCAATATGGACTGTGGCTGACTGGCTGGAAGGCAGCTTTGCAGAGAAAGCCCTGGGCATCCTGGTGGACAAGAAGTTGAATATGATCTAAATTCTGATGTGCACCAGTCTCTCAAATAACCTGTTTCTCTAACAAGTCTATTCCTCTGATAAACTGAATCAGGTAAGAAAAGGCCTCTCATTTACTGCCAGCCATGAGAAAACATATTGCTTGATAAACTACCCTTTGCCCACACCAGAAGACAGCATTGATGCCGATTTGAAAATATTAAGATCAATTACAAACAGAACATATGCATAAAAACACCTCATCTGCTGAACTGTCTCTTCTGACAAAAGAAATAGTGACTAAGAAAATTCACTGTAATAAAGGGCTTACCTTCCTGAGTGATAGTTACACAAATCAAATGAGGACATAACTTAGAATTTCAGAGAATATCTGAACAACAGTTTATTTATATGTGTTTTAAAGATTAAAATAACTATTTTTTTCATGGCTGGATAGTTTGAGGTTGCTTTAAAACCTGCTTCTAAGTCATCATATTTATATAATAAAAATACAATGCCAAAACTAAAATAAAGAATTTTACCTGATTTAAGAAAACTAGAAAGTTCCATGATTTCATCATCCTACATTTCAACTTAACACAGGTGGCCAATTGTCATGTCTGAGTATTGCTTTTAATTAGTGTTATTGTGAGGGAAAAGGAATATAGGTATCACAAATATTAAAGATGCAAAAGGAAAAGCTAGATTGAAATAAGTTCTTAAATTTTACACTAAAAATTGTCATTCTTTAGAAGCTGACAAGTTTTATGGTAAAAGGTAGTAAAATCTGTTCTACTGTAAGATTTTTCATAGTTATTTTGTCCAGATTTTTTTTTTTTCATTAGAGCTAATATGATGTTTTTTCTCTTCAAGTCAACCTAATATTTGGAATTTTTGCTGATTATCTACAGAAGGATATACTCTGAAAGAGCCTTACATTTCAGAGGTCATAGACAGATTCCAAAACATAAAAGTTCTATGCAGAGTATCTGTGTAAAAAGAAGTCGTAAGTTTTTAAGTGAATATCTTTTAAGTTACTTTGAAGTCCCTTATCAAATGTGGTATGATTAAACCACCTACACATAGATACTGACTTCATTCTAAATGCTTTGTTTTCTTTAAATCCAAAGAGTGAATTAGGTGCCATTATACACAACGAATATATAAAGTATTAATGTGTCCTTAGAGGATATTCATTATTCTGCAAATAATACAGACTTTTATTTTTGTAACAAACATACCTGTAAAAATAAATGACTAGGGAGCACATTGTCAAATGAAGGACTAAGGTAGACTGTCTCTATCATTCTTATGCCCATCCCACTGAAAAACATGAAAAAAAAAAATTAACTCCTCAGATTTACAATTATTAAGAGTATTCAATTAAAATCATTATGCTTACAAACGGAAACTTGAAACAATAATCTTACAAAAATGAAAGCACTTTAAAATTACGTCATTAAGTTAGGTAAACCATAACAAAAAATGTACTACATCATAAATTGAAACTATTTCTAAAAATTGCATAAAGCAAATTTATATTTTTTTACATAAGACAAACTGAGATCTAATCCAAGACCTGATAATGTCAAGAAATGCATAAAATGCACATTTAAATGTGTTCATTTCCATCCATGACTGCTTTTGGCTAGCCATGTATGCACTATGGCACTAGCATATGATTTCCTACTTAGATCCTCCTCTATTTTTCTAGACTGCCTGAGATTTCAGACAAATAACTAAAGAAATTCTATTTCAAAAGACAGAGAAACATTGATTTGCCTGCAAAGCAAAGGTTTGAATTTAGAAACAACCTAGAAGTTTTAAATATGGATGAAGTTCTGACACAGATATCATCAAGATAAACATAGAAGAAAATGGACAAAAATAAAAACAAGAAAAAAGAGTGTTGAGCCTGAAAACAATAGATTACTGAAGATAACATGAGTAATAATAAAATAAAAAAATAATGAGTATTATTTTGCATATGCACTGCACAGTCCAACAAGAAGGGAGGATATGAGAAAGCAAACTTACAGACACCAGAATTAGTGTTACATACTAACATTCCATGCCATCAACTCAACAGGTATATCCTACCACTACTTCTATTACATTTAAGCTCTAATAAACCAGAAATCCTCTGAAAACGTTATCTTTTTTACTAGATCTTTTGTAGTTTGTTCTTGGGATGTAAAGTCTCGGTCATAATTTGATGTCCATGCTCTTGTACACTGCTTTTCATATATATTTTAGATGACAGAAGAGGAACAAACCAAATGCTTTGGCAACAAAATAGAAAAGCAAGTAATCTTGACATAGATAACTACCTTGGTAAAAGCTATACATCTTTTTTAAGATATCTGACGTTATCTTCTGTCCTCTGCCCCACCAAAAAGCCCTTACAAATATTTTCAGGAGAAGGAGAAATTGACAAGGCTGCACTTTTGTTCCTTCCAAATAGGAAAGCGGTACAGAACAATTTACTAAAATGCAATTTTGCCACAGTGAGAATGTTTGTCACTTCTGGTTTTCTGTATTATTGAAATCATATGCTAAACATAAATTCTGAAAAGGCTCCCATTTATTTCCTCCTACCTCTCAGGTAAATTGGTATCTGGATACCACTATGAAACTAACTGTTCAGTCTGTTAATACTTCCTGTAGTACTTTAATTGTAACTGCCATCACATTGCCACTACCTTAGCTGTGAAGTTACAAAAGACAGCAGGAGGCACAATTGTATCATATTCCCAGAAACTAACACTTCCCAAAAGATACTGGACGTCCCAACATGCAAGACAGATCTCAGTCAAAGCCATCTTGTGGTTGCACATAGGGTACAGAACATTTCACAGTGTTTTCCCATCTTCCTCCTTTCCTCTGCGAAGTTGTAGGTGTAGATTGAAGTTACTACTGACTTACTTCAGTGGGCCACTTGAACTAAAGATTTCACTGCGACTCAGTTCTGAAATCCCATTTCCAAGGAAAACTTTGACTCCTTCAAATTCTTTGGCTCCTCTTTTACATTTCCCTTCAATATCTGAATACACTGAGACCAGATCTCCAGCTTTCATATCTGCACAAAAAGAATGGAAATGTTGAGATTAATACACTTGGCAAGACAGTAGTGACCAAATAACACGATTTTCAGTAGACTACTTAATCCTGTATCATGTCAAAATGTAAATTTTCTTAATGTAATCAAAGATTAACTGATATTAAGCTTGGAAGTATACATGGTGAACGATGGCCACCAAGTGACCAGAGCTATTGCAAGACACAAGGTTACATATCAGACAGTGTGTCTTGTTTTTTAAGTGGCGAGACAAATCTTCACTTTACTTTTTATCACCACATGATCACCCACAAGTTTTAAGCTCACTCTTCAGGATTCAGTACTCTGTGTGTGCTCCAAGAACTCAAGTACATCAAACAACACTGGTTCACACTTACTGTATGAATAAACTAGTACTAAATTTGTCTAATGACTTCTCAATAGCTAGGTAGAACATAGCTATAGCTGCTTTTTCTCTATTGCTTTGATACAAGTGATTATATATTCTTATTGAAAGAATTTTTCTAGTGTGGCTCTCTTCCCTCTAAGGCAACTGCTGTTCTCAATAATCCTCTAAAAGAGCTTTACATCTCCAATTAAAACTCTCCAGATCAGTGAAGTATGTAAGTATACACCAAACTCTAGAAGTGTAGTCCTAAGGACTTAAACTTTTTGAGCTGGAACAAAACTCAATGGAAAAGGGGGAGAGTGAGCAAGCTCTATGCACTGACTGGCTGAAAAATATGATTAAAAATAAAGGCCTCCACTGACAGCAATAAACAATTTTTACAAAATTATGCTTCTGACATGTCTGACTGGCTGGAGCAATGAGAAGATATGACAAGTAAGACTAATGACAGTTCAGCTTCCCAAGAATTGTTTGAAATGTATTCAGGAAACTTTTTTTCCATTTTCAAGTGGCCTTCTGAATATGCACAAATGCCCTGGAATTCTTAAATGGTAGTATTTGTTGGGTAGCCACTAAATTTTTTATTTTTTTTTTTTGCGTAGTTTCTTTTTACACAATGTGACACAAGACATTATGTGATAGCCTACTGTTACTGTCTGCTTAAACTTCACTGAACAAAAACTTGCAGCAATTTAACTCTTCCATCAAGCATATTTGCTAATGATTTTTTGCAGTATTCAAACATAAAGGATTTTATTTCACTCTCTGCTGACAATTATCCTTCCAAAATGCGTTAATACTGTGTACAGTTCTTAAGCTTTTTGGAGCTTATATGGGCATTCCATAAACATAAAGCTTAGAGTTTGATGAGTTAAATTAAACTCAAAGCCCCCTGATAATTAGTTTACCCCATTTGAGTTGAAATTTCAGTGATTAAATGTGTGTTCTTGCTGTACATTTTTTTTCCCCCCTAGTTACACCATCTGCGCTTAATACAGCCGTATCATATTTGGCCTCAAGTGAGTAGCATGCCCTTTTATTTTATTTTGCTATCTGCAATTCCCCTGAAGTATTCCTAAAGTTTTATAGTATCTTTTCTTTTCTTTGAATTGATGTTGCATGCATAATAACATGCAGCAATCATGATAAATCACCAGTTGACTCAAAGAGGGATCTGAATATTTATGAGGTTGTCTAAATAAGCAGTTTCAACAACTGCTACAGCAATATACTTATTTCAGTATTAAGTCCTAGATGGAAAAACATTCCTGTTCAGTGAATTGGACTTAAGTACATGCTTAAAACTTCTCAAAGGTTTTTTCCTGAAAGGGGATGAAATTAAGTGGCTATATAAATGCTTTCCTGACTCACTTTGTTTAATAATATGAGCCACAATGATTAGTAGATCTCATCATAATAGAATAATGAGATGAATCATCCAAAATTATACTGGCTTCACATAAAGTTAATTTGGCCTTTAAATAAAAAAGAAATATGTTACTGAACACTAAGCATGTATATGTAGATTTTTTATCTTGTCTCACAGGCATTGAAACAAAAATTTCCATTTCTTAAGAATCTGACATTAAAATTGAAGATTTTTCTCACCAATAGAAAAAGCCTCTTTTTACTACATCTCTCATACACAAATATAAAATGAATTGCAAATGGAATAAAAAAAGAAAATTTTTTTAGATCTGTAACTTAAGAGTCTTACAGGATCATGAAGGCAGGTGCTTTTGTGAATGAAGAAATAACATATCTGGAAATAGTATATATTAAATAATCAACATTCAGGTGTAACCGTTGTGGCATTCCTTTAATTATTTTTTTTTTGACTGGCAAGTAGCAAACTTCTGTGAGTTTATTCTACTGAACATCCATACTAAAAGTTACAGTATTCAGTAGTAAAAAAAAAATCTTAATAAGCCAGGTTTTACTTTGAACATGCTCTTTAAAAAGATTTTCACATGAAAACAAGAAACTCAAATCCTGGAGAACTAATACTTCAACTACAAATTACATATGGAAAAGGGAACTTAAAACAGGCCAGGTGAGAAATACATATAATTTATTTCAAGTATAATGCAAAAATTGTGAAAATCTCAAAAAAAAGCCATAAAAACTAAAAAAAGTATTTACCATAAATTACAACAAGATTAATTTCAGCTGTGAATAGAAAAAAATTAATGTCACTAATATTGATTGGAAGTTGTCATCTTTTCCATCCTCTTTACAACTTAATTGTGTATATTTAAGAACTCTTACATCTTGAGGTAGATATGATTCCAGGGACATAAACATGTGCTCCTCGAAGTACTGCATATCCACATTGGGCTCCAACAATGACTTCAGATGCATGTTTTTTTAAATCTCGCCTAAAAATACAAAACGTAGTTCAGTTAAAAAAAAAAAAAAAGTATACTGAAAAAAAACCAAATACCCCCCCCAGTAAACCAGAGTAAACTCTAGTTTATAAATGCTGGTTTTGTCACAATAGACAAAATAGTTAACTATCATGTATTAACTTTAAAAGGTTTATTACAGTCCCAGAGGAATCAAAGAAAATAGCCAAGAAGGAAACCAGTCCTCAGAATAAAGCGGATTCTGACGCATTCTGCTACTATGATGAACCTGAACACAAATGAATACAAATGAATTTTACTAGGACAGAGAAATAATCCTCTATCCCTTTCTAGGCCAGATGATTGTAAAGAGATTTTTTTGTGTTTAGCAACTGTTAAATATTTCTACAATAAAGTATAACGAGAAACTTTGCCAGAAAGAATTGTGAAGAAGACAGTTACTAGAACTTATTAAAGTGTAAACATATTTGAATATAAAAAGAACAGAATATTCAGAAAAAGATGCTAAAAAAGAGAATTAAATGAATGGAGAATAACTAAAAGTATTAAATGCTGGTTTAGACTGTACATTGGTTACAAACTAGTACTACTTGTTACCAATCTCTACCTAATCATGATATAAACTGAATCTGAAGTATGTTAGTCTTCATTATGAATAAGATACTTTAAATAAAATGTTCATCAGTGAATTCAGTAAAACAGTGAAGAAACTCCATAGGGGCAGACACAGACGCAACATAGGAAATATCCAAACAAATCTTAAGAATTAAGAATGAATAGGCATTTTGTAGGGGATGAAATTCAGGAACCCTCTCAGCTTTATTGACCCAGTCTCCCCCAGTCTTGCTTGATTTGGGAACTGTCAGTGCTAGGTTAACAGTTGGACTAGATGATCTTCAAGGTCCTTTCCAACCTAGGTGATTCTGTGATCCCAGTAGACTTGATTCCTGGACTCGATTCCAGTGGAAGAAAACACTGCCTGCATTAAGCTATAGTTCTGTATTCAACCACAAAAATTTAGTAGTTCTGTCTGCCACCTACGTGGCTTTCCAAAGAGGACGTATTTATGTTGCATTTTCCCTATAAAAGGTAATTTCATAAATAAGGAGAGAACTCCCTCTATGCTTTCTTACATCTTCTAAGGACTAAAGCTGCGATCTGGTTAGGATATGGACTGTCCACTCATTCTTAATATAAATGAAATTGTGTTAGTTAGCATAATTCTTTAACAAGAAATCTATAAGGAAAATATATGTGGTGACATTTTAACACTGAAGACCAAAAATTTCAAACCTGGGTCCAATGACAGGAATTAATAAGACGTCCTGGAGTTTCGGGTGCTCAAGAACTGGAACACATAGTCCTTTAAATTGCTGTTTCATTAAAAGAACATAATTATTAAGCAATAATAAAAAAACTAATATTAAAGTACTTAATGAGATTGAAAACTATTTTTCCATTTGTAATTTATAGCTGTACTGTACAAAAAAAAAAAAAAGGTAGTGAAAACAGTTAAGAAATGTTAGAAAATCGTGTGTAAAGAGACATTCCATATTAAAATTACTGGTATAAAAGATTAAACATTTAATAAATTGAGAAGTAACAAGGCCACAAAGGGATTCATTGAGAACCGACTTCAGGAAGTGGGACAGTGTTCAGATGCTCACAACCCTACCACTGTTTTTTGCTTTCTTGTGGAAGAAAGTTGTGTTGAGTTGTCATCAGACCACGGTAATACCACCAGAGAAGCTTGGGTCTAATCTGTATATCTTTTTGATATTATTAATTATAAACCACTGTTTAATTCTACCCATGTATTGCCTGTCTTAATATGCCAGGCTGGTAATAGTTTTTATTTTTCTTTTCAGCTTAACTTTGATTGGGTACTCAGAGCTGATTTGGGTGTATAGTTGAAAAAAATGAGAGCTTGCCATTTTAAAACTGTTCCTGAACTTTGAAAAGACAATATCTTCTCACCTGAGCCTTCTAAAATATAACCTGTATATTTTTAATGCAAAAATGAATTAGTTTGCACCTGATAGTATCTTCTCTTAAGAAAGAAACCAATCCATGAGTGTCCTTTTGTTCAAAACTGTCATGTTGTTTCCTTTTCTAACATGACCGCAATTCAAAATACAAAGTTTATGAAAAGCCACTCAATTCAGTTTTCAGCAAAGCATTTTCCCTTGAAGCAAAATTTTGCTGCAATACCCACTTCCAGATTTCTACAATCAAGCTAAAATTAGCATAACTCATTACCATTCCAGCCCGCAGAATACTGTCAACTGCCTCTGCATCGCAGAAATGTCTTGGCTCCTGTCATGCAATAGCTCCCTGTACACCCACTAGCATTAATAATTTACTTAAAGAACTGGATCTTTTTAGACAGAGTGAAGATCTAGGATAGAATTTCAAAATAATCTACTTAAATATAACAGCTTACATATTATCAGATAAAAAAAGGTTTAAGCAAGTTAAGTAAAAATCCAGAAAATGATATAAAAATTAAAACCAGCTTTTAAAAAAGAAAATGCAGCAGTTGCAGGGCATCACTGGCTCCTGTTTCTAAAACATAGAGATTTTCTCACTTTCCTAAACAGTTTGTGCAATGAGACATACAGCCATTCTCCTTTAATCTTAAATAAAAATGTTCTAAACATATTGAATACAGCACACTGAACTACAGCTTTTATCTCTTTCTACCATCTTCTCTAGACTTATGATGCCCCTACAGTATTTATTAGAGTAGCACCCCCATCTTATCTGTCTTTTCCCTCTGTGACTGCCTTTCTTGGACGTATTAGATGAGGAATAGTGCCAGACAATGAATCTTCATTTAACATTTAATGCTGACAAGAAATCAGTATGACTGGAGAATGTTAATACTAGTGGACATGTATTAAGTTAAGGAATAATTTCCAGTAATGAAAAGCTCTCATAATCAGGCACAAGATGAAACGTCCTGTTATTTTTGCTGTAACACAGAAATTGCACAAACCTTCTGGATCTCTTCAAACAGCAATTTCTTCACGTGTTTCACTGAGGCCAAGCGGGTATTAACTCTAACAGTTGTGAAACCTGGTGGATGAGATAGATGACTTAACAGAGACTGATATTTACTTTCCACCTCCTGTGTACCTAAAGCAGTGATAAGCTGAAAGTGAAAGAAGAGATTTTATATTAAAAAGAGTCAAACAGCAGCCTCTTACCAGGGCTAAAAAAGCACTGAATAAACATTCTGTAGAAATGGGAGTAATATGGTTGCATCATGTGCAATACTGAGGAATGTCTAAGTCTGGAGACCTAATTCCAGTGAAAACCTCATAAATTTCTTTAAAAGGACTTGTTGGAAAAACAGTCATATTAGCAAGGTCATTGTACATTGTAAACAGGCTGCAGCAAGTACCAAAAGTAGCTGCTAGCGAGCTCTGACACTGTATAAACAATAGTCCTAAGGAGATGGAAGAGTAGATTCAAAATTATTAATTCGTAACTTGTATATCGATATACAAAACCATCATTTTTGTGTCATTTGACATTAGGAATTAACTGATTGTAGTATTTTTGGTTCTACACTGGGGTAAGGGAGTATTTCTTGTCAATATTATGTGGTTAATAAGGGTTAATTTTCTCTGTGATCATCCCTCAGTGGGATTCAAAACTGAAGTCTCAGATTTATGCTGTTTAGTGTAAATATATTTATGTGAAGGCAATACTTATTTTAAGGTTTTAATATCACACAAAATATTAAAGAAATATTAACAGTATTTAATTAATGAATATTTGTTGATGATTAGTAGTATCTCTTTCACATACCTCATTATTTCTGAACATTTTGATGAGATACTCTTCAACTTCATGTTGGAAAGAGATTTTGGGGAAAAAAGACATCTTCCTTTAGCTTTTAAAATCTGCCAATAAAGAACTGAAATAAGAAAAACATTTTCTTATTAGTTTTTATCATATTCTATAAGTTTATAAATGTAATGTAAGATGTATCCACAAACTAAGCTGCAGTTTCTGATTATTCTGCTTTAATAATGCAATTTTACTGCACTCAAAATTCAAAATATTGCTCAGGATATGACTGTAACACTACTGTTAACTACATTTCATAATACATTCATTAACATGTTTAGCATTTGCAGCCACCTTACAGTGAAGCTACTGGTTTCCTTGCTGTCACATCCTTCCCAGCCATACCTTCCAAGGCTACAGTATCAGTGTTTGAAATGTGAAGAAAGTGTCACCACCTCTAAATCCAGTCCTGTTAAAGTTCCCTGAGCTATGGTTGGGGAAAACTTGCTGTTCAGTCCTAGAATTCAGTCACAAAGGCTCCTCACAGAATTTAGCTTTGACTCTTCTAAATCCTATCTCTGAAATTCTTACTCTATTACATAATCATATTTGTTCATTTTTAAAGATAATCTAGTTCTTCCCTGTGAAACTTATTTTTCTGAAGCTTAACTTCTTAGGTTTCCTCCATAGTTCAAATTAGCCAAACTTCATAACAAGAGGACATGTGCATGACTGTGGACAATTATTTTTATTTTTTCCATATATACTTAAAAAATTAAAGGACTATAAGTAACAATTTTCTCTTGAGTCTGTGTTTGCTTAATTCACAGTAGAAACAGTGAAGCATTAAGGCAACAAAAGCTTTGCTGATTCTTACTGAAAATCTTCAAACTGTCTCATGAAAGATTACAATGTTTAAAAGGTTCAGGAAATTTCCAGATGTTGCTTTTAATTTCTTCTGCAAAGCCCAGCTATAAAGACCCTACTGTAGCTCAGCCCTGATGCAGCCTTTATTCTTTGTAACTATTCTCTCTAGGTAATAAAATCTAATTATCTTCCCAAATTGTATCTGCCCACCCTAGTATTACCTATATTGTGAAAGATTATATATACTTCAGAAAGTCTGAAATGAGACTTTCTAAAAATTTAAGTTTGTTTACACCAACTTAAATGGAAGGAAAGTGAGAACATACCCCCATCAGTGAGATTTTTTCTATCCATGGAAAGAAAACCTGAATACAAAAATATTACAATTTCACTGTATTAAACACACTTTGAGAAAACTCACCGTAAATCTTGGTATTCATTCTATTTGGATAAGATGCTATTTGTCACTTTTAACATACAAAACCCCCTCACAATTTTTTTTTTCATATTTCAGAATCAGTTGAAGTTTTAATGCTAGAAGAATATTACCTTTTTAGACGTAACTTTTGACTGCAGACAAATGCAATATTCAATTTCATGGGTAGGAGTTTCAAAGCCTGATTCCCAACATTAGCAGCCTTTGAAAGAAAGAAACTGTAATGGAATTAATTAACTTTTTTTTTTTTAATCTAACAAAATGCCCAAAAGAATTTACCTTGATATTTCTACTAACTGTAATATTACTACAATAGTTCAGATTACAACCAAAACTACCAAAGTTCAGTTTTAGCATTTCAGACAATGTGACATATCATGCCTCTGAGCTGGTGTCCTAGGACGGCTACATTATAGGGAAAAAAAACCCAACAAACAAAAAAACACCCTACCCCCCCTCCATATGGCTCACATTTAGAAAGCTTTTTCTTCAGAAGCATAATAAACTAGCATTTAAAAAAAGCCCTCACTTGTGAATTTTTAAAATAATTTGAATCCTGAAAACAAGCAAGCATTTGAAAACTGGTAGAAATATGTGTTATTTATGAGCCCTACAAGTAACTTCAGTATTAACATTATGAAGATATATTTTAGGTCATTAAATAGGTATTTCATGACAACCACAGAATTCCACAGAATGAGTGAAGTTATGTCACAACTACACTTTGTGGAAAACCAACCACTGATCTGACAGCATGTTGGCAACAGGACTTGTTTCTACCTCAGTTTTAAAATGCGACTGAGGGCTACCTTGAAACAAGAGCCAGTAGGTGGTCAAACCCAAAAACTCTTGGTCAAAAACACTGCACACAAAGGACAGAACTGTAATGAAGTTCCCTAAATGTGTTATAAAAGGGAAGCTAGTACTATGAAACAAATTAACAAAACAATAATGCAGGCCTGAAAGTGGTTTGAAATTTCATACCAAAATAGAAAAGTTACAATGTGTCTAAAACCACTATCCTAAACAGGATGGCAAGTATTTTAAAATGCCTTCAATATAATGAAAACCTACAGAAACATGAGAATAAAACTAAGGAGACTTCTCATTGTGAAGTGTGATGCCACATCTGTGCTTCTAAGCACAGTTAACAAACATTTTAGGAAGTCAAGAAACATGTATTAGGAGAAATTGAGACTTGACCCTGACTAGTTCATAGAGCCTGGTATGAAATGTTACTGCAGAAGAGCTGCTCTGTCACGACAACTGTAAGGTATGCAGACTCAACATACATATTCCAACGACAAATACAAGAAACCCACTATCATTGTGCATAGTTCAGGGAGAGAAACGACACACAAATGAAAAGCAATTTCTCGGTTAAAAAGAGCAATCAAAGGAATAAAATCATTGTAGGCAGCCTGGAAATTTTAAGACCACACAACTGTTCAGAGAACAGCTACACAACCTGCAGGTTCTGTCGTGTATGCATGAACATTCAGGTCCCATTATCTCGGAAAAGATACAACGTAGCTTAGAAAGGTTCAGGGAAAAGTGATGACCTATGAAGAGGGAATGAATTTCAAGTAAGCAAAGACTAAACAGTTTTCAATCTTCCAGGCTGGGGAACATAGTTAAGTGGGATAGGATAACAGCTTATAAATGCAGATACGGCAAGAAGAAAGGCTAACGAGGGAGACTGTCCAGTGCACCTTCAAACACAAGAGCTAGTCTTCAACAGGACAAGAAGCAGGTTCAAAACCAGAGGTAATTTTTCCCACAGACATGACATGCTGTGCGGTACACCTCGCTCCAGGAAAGGCTTGACAGACTTTAGAAGAGTACTTGAGGGAGCATCACGCCCTTTTTAACCCCTCCTTACAGACTTCCCCGTGCCCCTGCTGGGAGCTGTTTCGAGGGACGCGATGCCGGACCAGGGCTTTTATCTAACTACACACATAAGCACTGCGAGCTGTCAAACGTAGCCAACACCCAGAGATGCCGAGTAAGATTAAACTTTCAAACCTCCTTTGCCAACCTCTTCCCACAGGAGGAAGAAAGTCAGTCGGCTCACTGCCGTGGGGAGCGAAATCTTGGGGCTCCTTTATTCCTCCATGTGTCACCTTATCGACAAACACCAAGTGTGGGGAGGCAACAGCTCTTTTCGCAGCCTCCCCGAAGCCCTGCACGGCGGCTCAAGCCAGGCCCAGGGGACCTAAGCGAGACGGGACGCCCCGCCGCCGCCCCGGCGGACACCGAGGGAGACACAGACCCGAACCGGCCCCGGAACGCCACGAGAAGGACGGAGCACGTAAGGGCCTGGCCGCGTTCCACCCTCCGCCAGCGGCCCGCAGGCACCCGACCCGCGCCTACGGCCGCGTCCCAGGCCGACCCCGCCTCCTCCGGGGCAGCGGCAGGAAGTCCCGCCTTTAAAGTTA